CCCCCGGTTCCGGCAGCAGTGATAGGGCCCAGGGGGTCAGGTGGGTCTAAATCTCACTAGTCAGGAGTGTTCATCTTTGGGCAAATCTGGGATTTCCCTCTGCCCCCAGATCCCTGCCCCCATTATGTGTCCCAAATGTTACCCCCTTCAAGGTCTCTGCAGCCATGTGGGAGCGTGAGACACCTCCTGTCTACTGCTTGGGGAGGCTGGGAGTCAGGACTTCTGGGTTTCATCCCCTGCTCTGGGAGGGGAGGGGGTTGTAGTGGTTAGAGCAGGGAGCCTGGACTCCTGGGTTACATTCCCAGGTCTGCCACTACTTTCCCTATGCTGTGAGCAGGGGCTGGAGAGAGCCCATGCTGCATCTGAAGCCACTGGTCCATTCTGCGGTTGGGATTGTACAGGCCTGGAGTGGGTTGGTGAATGCCCCATCCTCACCTGTCCCTCCTTCCTGCAGTTCTTCGAGGGCAAGGAGCTGCGTCTGAAGCAGGAGTACTTCACGGTGGCGGCCACCCTGCAGGACATCATCCGCCGCTTCAAATCCTCCAAGTTTGGCAGCCGGGACCCCGTCCGCACCTCCTTTGATGCCTTCCCTGACAAGGTACCAGCCTCTCCCAGCAGGGGGCGCTGTAGGGAGCAAGGCAGGAGCGCCGGCTGTGCAGGGCGCTCCAAGCTACTCCAGCCCTGGCCTCTCCCAGCAGGGGGCGCTGTGGGGAGGAGGGCAGGAGCTGGCTGTGGCAGGAGCTCCCAGCTACTCCAGCCCTGACCTCTCACGGATAAGCTCATACATCCTCTGTCATTGGTGGTCTGAGTTCTGCCCCTCTCCTGTAGGTCGCTATCCAGCTGAATGACACTCACCCCTCCCTGGCCATCCCTGAGCTCATGAGGGTGCTGGTTGATATCGAGAAACTGGACTGGGACAAGGTAAGGGGTGTGTGTACGTGTGATGTCGGGGGCCCTGTGCTGTAGGGAGCAGGTGTCGTCATTCTTCTTGTTGAACAGCCCCCATGTCCCACCCAGAGGTTGCTGCATCTCAGTGCTGTGCTGGGGATCCTCACATGCTGTCTCTCTCCCAGGCCTGGGACATCACGGTGCGGACCTGCGCCTACACCAACCACACAGTGCTGCCTGAGGCCCTGGAGCGCTGGCCCGTCCATCTCTTGGAAACCCTCCTGCCCCGGCACCTGGAGATCATCTATGAAATTAACCAGAGATTCCTTGATGTAAGCTCCACCCCCAGGATGGGATGGGGTTAATCCAGTGGAGAAGTCTCTTTCCCTCCATACGTGGCAGGAACTAGGGCTCCTGGGTTCTGTCCCCAGCTCTGGGAGGGTAGTGGGGTCTAGTGGTTTAGAGCTGCGTGGTGCTGTCAGGACTCCGGGGTCTTTTCCCTGGCTCTGCAGCTGATTCACATGTGCTCTTGCTGGGGTGAGGTTCGGGAGGGGGTGGGGAACCAAATTTGGCTTGGGAGGGAACCACGGGCATTTGGGATTGGCTCCCACTGTGGGGCAGGGTGGGTGTTGAGGGGATGAGTGTCCTGGGGCTAGGACAGTGGGGACCCCCCATTTTCCTCCTAGGGGGGCTCAGTTGCGGAGCTTCTCTCTGGGGGTGCCTGCTCCATCCGGATTCTGCCATTCCCTCCCCCCCCAGAAAGTCAATGCCATGTTCCCTGGGGACTTCGACCGGCTGCGGCGCATGTCCTTGGTGGAGGAGAGCGGCATCAAGAGGATCAATATGGCGCACCTATGCATCGTGGGCTCCCATGCCATCAACGGGGTCGCCCGCATCCACTCCGACATAATCAAGAAGTCTGTGTATGTGCCCTGCCCCTTGCCATGCTCTGCCCCCTTACTGTCCTTACACTCCCCTGCACCTCACTGTCCGTCACTCCCCCGCTACTCCCATTCCTTCTCTTCCTGTTCATTCCTTTCCTCTTCCATCCGCTCGGTTCTCTTTTCCATCCTGCATTTTTTCCCATTTCATTCTTCCCTCTTTTCCCCCCCTCTTCTCTCGTTCCTTTGATTTTTTTTCCCCTTTCCCTTTTTCATTCATTCTCTTCATTCCTTTATCTTTCTCTTCTCGTGTTCCTTCCTATTTCATTGTATCTTACCCTCTTTTTCGTTTTCATTCATTCGCTTCTTTCTGTTCTGTTCCTGTTTTTCTATATATTTCATTCTTTTTGTCCTTCTTTTTCTGTTCGTTCCCTTATTTTTTCTCCACTTTTGGCCCTCTGTATTTTTCCTGTTTCATTCATTCTTTTCCCTTTTTTTCTCTTTGTTTCTCAGACCTTCATTTTTTCCTAATTCATTTACCTTTTTGTTTTTATTCTCTTCTTTCCTCTTTTTTATTCTCTTCCCTTCATTTCCCCTGATTCATTCACTCTTCTCTTCATCCTTTCTTTCCCTTCTCATCGATTCTTGTGTTTGTTCGCTCACACATTCTTCCTTTCTCTTCTCTCTCCTTTGCCCTTTTGCCCTCTAGTTTGTTTTTGGTCCTGCTTTGATTCTTTCCCTCCTTGGTCGTCTCATTCATTTATTTCCTGTTTCGTTCCCCTTCTCTCCCCCACCCTCCAGCTTCAAGGATTTCTATGAGCTTGAGCCGCAAAAATTCCAGAACAAAACCAATGGGATCACACCTCGGCGCTGGCTGGTTCTGTGCAACCCAGGGCTGGCTGAGGTCATTGCCGAGGTGAGTGCAGTGAGGGGGGAGCCAGCGGGGTCCCTGGGGGGAAGGATCCTAGGTGGTGATATGCAGGGATGGGGATGCGGGGGGGGGGGGGGGGGGGGGGGGGGCCAGGGGGGGGGAGAGGAGGGGGGGGTGTGGGGGGGGGAGATGCTAAACACAGGGGGGGGGGGTGACCATTCTGAGATGGGGGGGCTCTATGGGGTGGGGGGATGCTAGATACAGACAGGCATTGAGGGGCAGGCTGCCATGCAGGGATGTGGAGGCATTCATAGGTTGGACCCCTCTCCTCTGCCTTGGCCCTGGAAGGGCAGAGCGAGGGGGTGCCTGCCTACTCTCCTATGCCAGGCCTGGCTCTGACCCTCCTCTTTCCCCAGCGTATCGGGGACGAATACATCTCTGACCTCGACCATCTGAAAAAGCTTCTGGCCTACGTGGACGATGAGGGATTTATCCGGGACGTTGCCAAAATTAAACAGGTACCGGGGTGGGGAAATGGGACACGGGGCTTCTCCCCTCTAGGGAGCACCAGCTGTGATTTGGCCCCAGGGCGGGGAAATGGAACCCAGGACCTCTCCCCTCTAGGGGGCACCAGCTGTGATCTGGCCCCAGGGTGGGGAAATGGAACCCAGGACCTCTCCCCTCTAGGGGGTGCTGGCTGTGATCTGGTCCCAGGGCGGGGGATGGGATGCAAGGCCTAGGTTCCCATCTCTGCTCTCCCACGCCAGGAGAACAAGTTGAAGTTCGCTGCCTATCTGGAGAAGGAGTATAAGGTGAAAATCAACCCGAACTCCCTCTTCGACGTGCAGGTGAAAAGGATCCATGAGTACAAGAGGCAGCTGCTCAACTGCCTCCACGTCATCACCCTTTACAACCGTGAGTGCTGACCCCCAGCCACATGCCACAGTGAGAGGGAGAACCCAGGTGTCCTGACTGCCAGCCCCCCTGCTCTAACCACTAGTATCCACTCACTTCTTCGGTGGCGCTGTCAGTGACCGGGACATGGGCAGCCATACCTAGAGTTGGAACAGGAGTCAGGCCCAGGGGCTGCAGCAGGAGTCGGCAGCCTGGAATCGGAGTCGAGGTCAGGACTGGGTCATCTGGAATGGGGCAACGCGGGGGCAGGGCCTGGGCAAGGCAGGGGTTATCACTGCCAGTGGCAAAGGCTTTGAGCAGCTGCTGCACTGCTGCTGGCCTTCAGAGCCGGTCTGCTGACTCTTCCCAGCTATGAGGCCAACCTCCAGGCCAGCTGTGCTCACTGGGGTGGCCAGGGACTGGCCAGCTGCCGGCCCTGCTACCTGGCACACTGGCCCTGACCCTGCATCTCTCCCCGTCCCCCTGCAGGGATCAAGAAGGACCCCAACCAGCATTTTGTGCCCCGGACTGTCATGATCGGCGGCAAGGTGAGACCTGGGGGCCAAGGCCCACCCCTCTCGGTGCTGCTGTCCCTTAGTGGGAGGCGAGGGTGGGGGTTAAGCGGCAGTCTCACCCTCCGTCCCCCCACAGGCCGCCCCTGGCTACCACATAGCCAAGATGATCATTAAGCTGGTCACAGCAATTGGGGATGTCATCAACAACGACCCCATCATCGGCGACCGCCTCAAGATGATCTTCTTGGAGAACTACCGCGTCTCCCTGGCTGAGAAGGGTAGGGAGGCCGTGACCTCTGACCCTGCTATCCTCCCCCCAAACCTGCCACCACTGCCCCAGATCAGGTTAAGGGCCATCTACCCCACACGGCAACTTCTGCCACCCCTGGTGGGAGAATAGTGGGGTCAGAAGGTCCCTAAAAGTTGGGGGAGGGCCATTGGCACCCGAAGGGTGGCTCTGCCCCCCATGCCGCCTCTTCTCCTTGAGGCCCCTCCCCATACCGCCGCTTCCCCCGAGACCCCCCCCCCGCACCCCCTCCCCCCCCCCCCCCCAAGACCACACCCCCTGCTCACTCGTCTCTGCCCCTCACCCCCCGTTGCTCACCCTAATGGCTGATAAAAATTGGGGGGGCCTGGCTCTCCAGGCTCCCCCCCCCCCAATTCTGGCACTCCCATTTCCCACCCCAAATCAGGCCAATGGGGCTGTCTGCTCCTTGCAGCCTCCTCTGACCTCCATCCCTTCCACTCTGGTTCAGGGCTGGGTCTAGCCCACATGGCAGCTTCTGACCCACATTACTTACCCCCACACCCTCCGCAATTGCCCCGGATCAGGCAAATGGGCCCTTTTACCCCACATGGTGACCTCAGACCTCCCACCCCAAACCGCTGATCCCGTCTCTCCCGCAGTGATCCCAGCGGCCGACCTGTCCGAGCAGATCTCCACGGCCGGCACAGAGGCCTCGGGCACCGGCAACATGAAGTTCATGCTGAATGGGGCGCTGACCATTGGCACCATGGACGGCGCCAACGTGGAGATGGCAGAGGAGGCGGGCGAGGAGAACTTATTCATCTTCGGCATGCGGGTGGAAGACGTGGAAGAGATGGACAGGAAAGGGTGGGGGCCAGACCCCTGCCCCTCCCTCGTGCAGGGAACCCCTCTGCCAGGCCTCCCTCCCATGCCCCCTTCCCTGCCGCTGGATTCCTGCTCCACCTTCTCTACACCCTCCCCCCCCACCTAGCTGCCAGAATCTTCTCCTCCGCTGCCTGGATCTCCTACCCATGGTGCCCCCTAACCCAGTGCCAGATTCGCACCCATCACCCGCTGCCAGGACCCTCCCGACGCTGCCTGCCTCCCCTCCTGCTAGGATCCCTTCCCAATTTCCCCCCCACCTGGGCTCCTCACACTGTTTGCCTGCCCTCCTGTTGGGATCCTGCCCTCATTCCCTCAGCATGCCTTCCCCATGCTGCTGGGGTCCCTCTTGGGGGCTGGTGGGGGAGCCAGGTTGGGCAGGGGGCTTGGGGAGTCCTCTGGGGGCTGGGGGCTTCTGGTTTGGGGGGAGCCCCTGAGGCCACGCTGGGCTGGGGTGGAGCCATGATCCTGAGGTAACCTGCCCCCCTTCACCTCCCCTCCAGCTACTGTGCCAAGGACTATTACGACCGCATCCCGGAGCTCAGACAGGTGATCGACCAGCTGAGCAGCGGCTTCTTCTCCCCCAAACAGCCCCAGCTCTTCAAGGACATTGTCAACATGCTGATGAACAATGACAGGTGGGAGGAGGCACTGGGGGGAGGGAATAAGGGATAGAGGCAACAATGCCTGGTGTGGGGTGGAGGAAGGGGGCTCTATCCAGTGCTTAATTTGTAAGGAAAGAGGTGCTGGGGCTCAAGCAATTTTTTCACTTTCATAACTGACCTGCCCAGCCCAGCCCAGAGGTGCCGGGGCTAGGAACTGTCCAGCCCAGAGGTGCCGGGGCTCAGCCCTGGCAAGCCCTGGCACAAATTAAGCACTGGCTCTATCCCCAGCTCTGGGAGGGGAGGGGCGTCTGGATTATGGGAAGGGGAGCTGGGAGCCAGGACTCCTGGGTTCTGTTTCCACGAGTGCACTCATAGTGAGGGGCAGCTGAGGCATTGGGGGAAGGGTTTCCCCAGAGCTTTGGGTGTCTGCTGTTGGCTATGTTCTTGGGAGAGGCTCCAGTTGTCGATCCTGTCTGTGGGCAGCAGGTGGCAGCATGCACAAGGACCCCCAGCCTGATACCCTCCTGCTTCCCCTCCATCTTCAGGTTCAAAGTGTTTGCGGATTACGAAGCCTACATCAAATGCCAGGAGAATGTCAGCGCCCTCTACAAGGTGAGTGTGCACCCTAGTGGCCTCCCTGGGGTACTGCACCCAGCACTGGGAGGGGAGTGGGGTCTAGTGGGTTAGAGTGGCCGGGACAGGCTGGCAGGCAGGACTCCTGGGTTCTATTCCTGGGCATCCTGGCTCAGTTCCAGGCCCCTCAATCCCCGAGAAACACTGACAAGCTCAGGTGAGAGCCGCAGCCCTGCAGGGGGCTGGAAAGGGGGCAGGATGGAACGTCACAGGGAGAAATGGAAAGATCAAAACCCATCAAGCTCAGCCCTGCGGCATCCTGATGACCAGGGGATGAGAACCAGGCACAATGCTAGAGGTATGTAAAGGGGAGCTCAGGGGGGCTGCGATGTGTGTGGATGTCTGTCTGTCTGTCTGTCCATCCTTCTACTCACCTTTATTTCAAGGTGTTCAAATGTTATGAAAGTCAGTGGTAGTTACTTGGATTCACCCATCCATCCCTGCGCTCAACCCTCTTCTATCCATCCATCCCCACGCTCATCCCTCATCTGCAGACACTCATCTATCCATACCCACTCCTCTATCTAGCCATCCATCCCCCCCCACACGCTGTCCCTCTATCCATCCCACGCACGGCCGGCCCGCCCCATTGACACTCATCCAGCCATCCCATCTGGCCTCCCCGGCCCCATCCCCCAGTGTCCATGTGTCATTGCCACTGACCTGCGTCTCTCTCCCCAGAACACCAAGGAATGGACCAAGAAGGTCATTAAAAACATCGCCACCTCGGGCAAGTTCTCCAGCGACCGCACCATCGCGCAGTACGCCCGTGAGATCTGGGGCGTCGAGCCCACCCACCACAAAATCCCTGCGCCTGATGATCCCCGTGAATAGCCCCCCTGAGGCCTGCCTGACCCTGCCCCCCGTCACCAACCAAGCTCCACCGGGTGCCAGCAAACAACAGACACTGCACTGGCTTCCCCCAGATGCTCAGCATGTCCCCCATTGTGTGTGTGGACCTTCCCCCCTCTCTGTGTGGGGGATCCCCCCTGCACCCCACCCAGGGAGAACTGGCCACTACTTCCTGCCTCTGCCTAGCTGAGGATAAGCAGAGGGACATTTGGATTCCTGTCCCTTCCTTCTCCCCGCCCCCCAATTCCATAGGGTTGGGGGATGAAGAAACCCAGAGAAAAGGGATGCAGGGGGTTAACTTCCCCCTCCCTTCCCCCCATAACATGCTATTTATTTAAGGGTGAGAAATTCCCCCCCATTATAACCCCCCACCCAACCCACTTAGGGGGTGAACACCCAGCTATATTTTGGGGCACACCCGTTCTGTAGGTTAAAATCCCATGGTCACCCATCTACTAACAAGGCAGAAGGTGTGACAGTTCCCTAGGGGGAGGGAGGGGAGGCGTGGGAGTTGTCCTTCACAGGCCCCCAGCACTGTGACCCTCTTTCTAGCGCACCATTTTTGCACCCCACTCCACCCCCCCCTTTGCGTGTGATTATCTGGGGTGGGGTGCCCTGCCTCTGCTACCCTGATGTGGTTTTAAATTTGGGGGGATCAGTCCCCACCCACTGGTGACTTATAAAATAAACAGAGTCACTCCACCCACCCCCACCAGCTTACATCTCTGTTCATACATCCGTCCTCCCGCCCCGCATTTCCCCCTTAGGCGGTCTCAGTGCCTGGTGCTAACCCCCACATAGCCCATTGCTACAACTTGGAGCATTGTGTGTTGTTTTTTTCCTTCCTGGTTTGTGGGAAGCCGGTGGGCGTGGGTGCCAGGACTCCTGGGTTCCATCCCTATTGCTGTACCTCAGTGAATACTGTTTTTCCTGGGCCATGAGACTCCTATCCTACAGCCAATAGAACCCGGAATACGTCCTGCCATATACTTGCTGACTGTTTAGGGGGCATTTATGTTTATTATTTTTAGGGGTCCTTTATAACTTATGGCAGGGAATCTGTGCAAATACCCTGTGACTTTCAACTCTTAATGTGGGACAGGGGGAATGGAACAGGCTGGGGATTTGTTGGTAATTTTAATGATAACCCCATATGTGTGTGTCTCAGCCACCGCCCGCACTGGGCTGGGAGTCCTAGGAGCTGTGGGGTATGCTGCTCTACCCACCACTTTCCCCAGCTGTGGAGGGTCTGGGGCTGTGAGCCAGCAATAAAGATGACACTCAACACTCTCTGGCTATGTTGCTTTTTTCCCCCCTCATGGTCCTTCCTGCCCCGCCCTCACCCAGAAACTGGGGTCTTGCCCCCAGCCCTGCACCTGTCCACGCCTGGTGCCTCCTGAGTTCTATCCGGCTCTGGGAGGGCAGTGGGGGCTAGGGGGTTAGAGCAGGGGGGCTGGCAGCCAGGACTCCTGGGTTCTATCCAGCTCTGGGAGGGCATTGGGGGTTAGAGCCGGGGGGTGGGTGGGTTGTATCTCTAGCCCTCTTGACCTTGGGCCAGTGCCTGCCCCACCTGCCAGAGCTGCTAGTCACAAGAGTGAGTGAGGGGGGCCTAGAGAGGAGATGGGAGAGTGGGTGAACCCCCTCCCCCCCCAGGCCACAGCAGCTGCTCATTACCACCCAGGGAGGGGGAATTGGTGCTAAAAATAGCTCCCCCAACACAAACACCCAAGCAGGGGGGGAGGAGATTCCTAGTGGCAGGAGGGAGTGGGGTCCTAGTGGGTTAGACAGGGGACTGGGTGCTAGGACTCCTGGGTTTTATCCCCAGTTCTCAGGGGGGCTTGGGGCCAGGACTCCTGGGTTCCTTGGTTTATGGTATTTTTGTAAACCATGAATGTAAAGGATTGTTCTTTTTTTATCACAGCTCCAGTAGCATCCCCCCAGCACTACCCCTCCCCCCCAGGGGTGAGCAAGCTGGCAGGCACTGACCCCCCCCCCCCGCCCCCCCCCCCCCCCACCCCCCCCCCCCCCCCGGGGGGGGGAGGGGGGGGGGGGCCGCCCCCCCCCCCCCCCCCCCTTCAGGCAGCAGGCACTGCACTTACCATAATTGGTTTCAAGGCTGCTGGGAGCCGCAGTGATTAATTGGCATCTCAGCAGGGCAGTGAGCCCACAGAGAAACACACAACCAGTCAGTGGCCCTCCCACCCACCCAGCAAGTGTGTGTATGTGTGTGCACACACATGTACAGAGCCAGCGTGTGCACACACACACCCGCCCAGCCAACATGTGCTGTGTGTGTGTCCACACACAGCCCGTGTGTGGACACACACAGAACTCCTGAACACTCTTGTACTCATGCTCTGCCAGCTCTCACACTCAGCTGGCTCTTGTGCATGTGCACACTCACACCCACTGAGCCGGCGCACACAGAAAAACACACACTTGTATACATGCTCTGCCAGCTATGCTGGGTTAAGCAGCAATTCCTGATGTGCACATAAGGGGGTGCCAGAGAGCAAGGGAATAACTGTAGCAACGACCCCACATGCCCTCTTGCTGCTAGGCTGGGATCCAAAGGGGCTTGGCCCCATTTACAAAGGGGAAACTCAGCCATTGGCTTGCCCAAGATCTCACAGACGTCTGAAAATAGAACCCAGGAGTCCTGGCTCCCAGCCCCTGCCCCGCTCTAACTACTAGACCCCACTCTCTTGCCAGAGCTGGGGATAGAACCCATTGTACGTAATCCATCCATCCCCCCAAATCTGAACCAGTCAATGGCGCCCCCCAGTCCCCTCTTCTGTACCGGAAAAAAGCCTGGGGCCTGACAAATGCCTCCACTGCACAGATGGGGCTACAACCCCTTAGCAAGCATGGTGGCGCTGCCCCCCCCCCGTTCCATGTGCCAGGGGGTGGGGCTCAGGATCTTAGGACAGCCCCGCACACCCACCAATGCACTAAGGTTGCACCTGCTCTTCTAGGTTAGTGAGTAAGCAAGTTTTGACTCTTGGGGAGACATGCACCCAATCCAGAGGGGGGATGTGAAAGGGGTTGGGGTGAGGTGATGGGGCAGGGTGGGAGGGAGGAGAGGGTGTTCCTCACCCTGCCCTAGAGTTTAGGACTGTTTGCCAACCACAGAAACGCGCATGGCATTTCTGTTCAACCGCAGACCACTTCCCCCCCACCCAGCCTGCTCCACCCTGTCCGGCATGGTGCCCGAGCAAAGGGGTGGAGACTGTTCTCCATGATCACTGCTGGGCCACTGGGTGCTAAAATGGGGTTCAGAGGCTGACAATCTGGGCCTGAAGGGGGGAGGGGTGGATGATGCTGCAGGTGGCTGGGCCTGAGGGGGAGAAGGTGACACTGAGACTCCTTGGGCTGGGGGTGGGGTGGGAGGCTGAGACCAGCTCTGCCCATCCCCCACCTGCTCAGCCCAGCACCCACATCCACTGCCTGGGTCCCCATTCCCCCCCTCCTGTGGGGCTAGTTGCCATGACAATGGGCTATTGTTGGAGCTGGTTGCGGCCCCGGGCCCCCCCCCCCCCCGCTGTGTGTGCCCCCCAGTGGGGGGGGGGGGGGGGAAGTGCCAGTCACCCCCCCTCCTTTGCTCTATTACCCCCCAATCGCCCCGCACATTAGCTCATGCACATGAGACGAGGGGGAGAAGCTGGGGGTCCCCAGAGCTGCCCCCTCACAGAGTAACTGGTGCATATGGAATTGGCGGGGGCTGCTCCCCGCTTCGCTTTGAGCCCCCCCTCCCCAGTGGCGCTGGGTGAGGGCAGCGCACCCGGCACAGGAGGGGTTAAGAATTCTGCAGTGGCACCTGCGGTCTCTGGCTCTCCTGGGGGGCGAGCAACCATCGGCGTGAACGAAGGGTGTGTGCGCCCCTGCCCAGCCCCCCGCCGCCGCCTGCTGAGACCCTCGCCCAGCCCCCTCGGCCCGCTGCACCCCCCCGCCCCTGTGCCTGCTGCGCCCCCCCTCCCCCGCCTGGTGAGACCCCCTCCCAGCCCCCTGGCCCGGGGCGCCCCCCAGCTGCGGGGCAGGCGGCCCGGCCGGGGCGCTCCGTGCGGCGGGCGGAGCAGGCGGCGTTTGGACCCGCACGACCCTCCCCGAGCCGGCAGCAGGAGGAAGTCGGGGCGGGGGGGGGTGATAAGGAGACACAAGCCGCATTGTGCAGCCCGGCCGCGTTTGAATATCGCCCAGCGCAGGAGCAGAGCGGAGCCGGGTGAGCCGCACGGGGGGGACCCGGGCCTGACCCTCTAGGGGGCGCCGGCCCCGGGGCGGGGGGCCGGGGAGCGGGACAGGGCCTGCCCCTCTAGGGGGCGCCGGCCCCGATCGGCCGCAGGGCCCCAGGGAGTGAAAGACACTCCCACCTGTGAGACGAGTTTACTGGGGCTCAGCCCCGTTTCTCCAGCCGGACGGCCCCGGTCACACCGATTTTCACCCCTCACCCCATCACACCGACCCCCCTTCACACCATCCCCCTGCCCCTGCCCTATCACACGGACCCTCCTGCCCCCTGCACGCCACCCTTCCTGCCCACTTCACCCATCACACTACTAGCCTTGTCACACTGCTCCCCCTGCCCCGGCACACCCCCACCCACTGCCCCCATCACGCCACCCCCTCCCCTGCCCCCGTCATATCAGCCGCCTGCCACTGTCACACCAACCCCTGGCGCCCTGGCTGGTGGGGGAAGGGACTGCACTTCTCTGTCCCCCCCTCCGCCCCACACACACACAAGGGAGGCACACAGGGGCTCTCCCTGCTGCCACCCCTACTTTGGGGATGGCTGGGGGCTGCTGAGCTGGCACTGCCCTGGGTTATAATCCCCACTTAATTGGGGGGGTTGAATGGAGTTGGAAGGGTGGTGGGTGCACTGGGGGGCATAATGGGTGGCTAATGGAGGGCTCTAAAGGCAGTGATGGGGGCAGGGAGCAGGTGCCTTAGAGCCTTAGCTTAGTAGTCCTGACTGAAGAGTGGGGCCCATGTCACTGGGATGGGGTGACCCCCCGTTGTATTGTAGCTAATAAAAGCTCAGAGGCCTGGCTGAGATACAGGAAGAGGATAAAAAAGGTCCTTGTCCCCCATGCAGCTGGGACCCACAGCCCAGGGGTGTGTGGGGGTGCCAACAGGCTGTGCAATGATGGGGTTTCATTTTGGGTTCAGCATGCCTGTGCCTGTGTGTGCACAGTACACTATAGTCCAGGTGTGTGCACTGCGGTATAGTGCATGCAGCATGGCCGTGTGTGTGTCTGTGCACACAGTACACTATGGTCGAGGGGTGTACAGTGCAGTATAGTGCTTGCAGCATGGCTGTGTGTGTGTGGCTGTGTGTGCACAGTACACTATGGGCCAGGTGTGTGCAGTGCGGTATTGCGTGCAGCAGAGCTGTGTCTTGGCAAAGCTTTATGCCACACAGTGTGATAGTGCGTGTGTGTGCAGTGCGACTGTGTGTTTATGCTGCATACAGTGTGTACAATGTGTGTGTGGTGGCATGTATTTATCCCAGAGATGACTGTGAGGCAACTGACATTTGGCAACACTGTATTTTGATTGATATTTTGCAACATGGCTGGTGCGTATGTGAGAGACATGCAGTTAGTAGGAGGTGCTGTGCAAACAAACAGCCAGATGGAAAAGAGGGACCGTCCCCCCCAAACGCCTTTCGTTCAGTCCTCCCCCCTCAGCTCACTCACTCATTGTTGCTTCTATTCCTCTTCTAACTAACCATGAACAAAAAGCTGCCTAAAAATAACACTGCAAGAAACCCCAACCCTCAATTTACAGCGTGGTAAGTTGCACACACAAAAGCTTGTCTTAAAAGATTAATAATAATCTTGTCTTACTACAGAGCAATTACACAAAGGGGTCCCTTGCCTGATGCTGAGATGCAGACAACTCTGGGGTGGGATGTGGGGGCTGTTTATAGAGGGAGCCCTTGCCTGGTGCTGAAATGCAGCCACTTCTGGGGAGGTGCTGTTTATGCAGGGATTTACAACACAGATCTAAACCCATTCCCACTGGATCCCAGATATGGATGGCACCTTGCGCACCAGGCCCCTTCCCCCTCCCCCCCGATCGCTAATCCATCAGGAGCCGTTCCCTAGATTCCAGCTCCGCACACAGTGCAGCTCGAATTCCCGAGATGTGAGCCCTTGTCTAAATTAATCTCTCAGCCTGAGTCATTGTGGCCGGATTCCTGGGTCCTTCATCTCTCTCCAAACATTCCTTGGCTCTGGATCTGACCCAATCCCCTGTTGTCACGTTTAACCCTCAGATACCTTTACTGAGGGGATAGAGCCTGGGAACTTGCTTTCCACCTACGATCACCCCCTCTTTACAGCCCCCCAACCAAAGAGCAGACAGCCCCCGCGCCTCTCCTCACCCTCCAAGCGATGTTACTATGCAAAAGGCCACTTATAAATTCCATCCCGGTCCTTTAACAGCCACAGGGCTCAGAATAGCTCAGTGGGCCCCAGCTGCAGGGGCTGCTCCTTCGGGCTTTGTGCAAGGTCAGAAGAACTTGGGGCTGGGTTCCAGGATGCTTGGGTTCTGTCCCCAGCTCTGGGTGGAGAGCAGGGTCCAGTGGGGGAGAGCAGGGGGGGCTAGGGAGCCAGGACTCCTGGGTTCTATTTCCCCACTCTGTGATCATGGGCTAATCTCTCCGCAGCAGGTTTTCCTGCTGGGATGTTGAAGTTGCACATGCTTTGTGTTTTTAGGGTCAAAGTGGAAGGTTGTAACTTAGAGGGGGAAGGCCCATATCTCATTCCCCCCATCCCCGAGCCAGCCAGTCTCCCCACCCCGGAACCGAATTGGAGCCCATGCTCCCTGGAGGGGAAAGTCCCCATGTCCCATACTTCTACACTCCCAGGGGCAAAACAGAGCCCGTCTCTGACCCGGGCCAAGGCAGGAAGCCAGGATGGAGGAAACATTTTGCAACTTTACCCGAAATTCTCTAGCTGTTTTGTTTTGCAACAAACTCTCCCTCCCCCAGTGTTCACAGCGTCAGGGCGAAGGGAACAGAAACACCCTAAACCCTGGACGGCCTCCCTTGGCTGATCTCTGCAACTACCCCTCTGGGCAGCGCTGACCCCAGTGCACCTCAGCCTCAGGCAAGTGATCTCTGTAGAAACAGCTCCCCTGCCCCAGAGGTGGCTGCATCTCCTAAGAGTTATAACTCTAGCCTCATCTCCTCTTTCAGTGGCAGGTTCTCACCAGGGATCCCTGATCTTAGGGGGCCGCTGACACATTGCCCCTGAGCTGGGCAGCACTTGTCTGTGGTGGGACCCCAGGCTGGCAGAGGGGGAGCTGGCCGGCACGGGAGGAGCAGAGATGAGCGGGACGCTGGACCTGGACAAGGGCTGTACTGTTGAGGAGCTGCTGCAGGGCTGCATTGAGGCCTTTGGTAATGCGCTGGGGGGGAGCTGTTATTTAGGAGCATGTGTGGGAAGAAGGGGTTGTTGGTGCAGGTGGCTGTAAGGGGTGAGGTGGGGTGTGAGCCTGGAGAGGTGGTATATGGAAGGCTGGGGCTGCCCAAGGGGCTGGGGTCAGGCTGGGGCTTTGGGGTTTTCTTCAACCTATAGGATCAATTGTCCTGACCCCTAGAGGGCGCTGTGCTGCAGGGAGTGGGGCGGGGACTCAGCCAGGGGCGCTCTCCACCTTGTAATCAGTGCTGACCCCAGTGAGGGTCTGGGGGCACTGTGCTGCAGGGAGTGGGGCGGGGGCTCAGCAGAGGGCGCTCTCTGCTCCCAGTCTGCTGACCCCGGTGAGGGGCTGGGGGTGCTGTGCTGCAGGGAGCAGGGTCAGTATGGGTTGCTGAGCAGTGTGTGTGTGTGTGGGGGGTCTCTCTGTGGCTATGTCCACATGGTGAGCGGCAGCCACGCAGCAAGTCTCCGAGCCTGGGGCAACAGATGGCTCATGCCCCGGGGCTAAGAATAGCTGTGTAGACACTGTCACCTGGGCTGGAGACCCCCGCCCCCAGGCTTCACAGCCCAAGCCGCAACGTCCACACAGCGATGTCTGCCCAGCAATGTCTGCAAGTCTGCGACCCGAGCTCTGAGCCTCACTGCCAAAGGCTGTGCAGATGTAATCTGAATAGGTTGGGGGGTCAACAGGGGGTGCTGAGTCGGGGAGGGGATCACTGGGGTCTCTGGGTTGGGGAGTCAGTAGGGGTCTCTTGAGCGGGTTGGGTTGTAGGGGGTCTCTGTGTGGGCGGGTTGGAGGGTTGTGGAGGATCTCTGAGTGGTGTGGGGGATCTCTGAGCAGAGTGGGAGGTTGCAGGGGTTTCTGAGCAGGGTGGGGTCTCTGAGTAGGGTGTGGGGTTGTGGGGGTGGGGTCTCTGAGTAGTGTTGGGGGTTTCTGAGTGGGGTGGGGGGGTCTTTGAGCAGGCTGAGAGTCTGTAGGGGGTCTCTGAGCAAGGTGGGGGGTTGCGGGGGGTCTCTGAGTGGGGTGGGAGGTTGTGGGATGGGAGGTTGCGGGGGATCTCTGAGTAGTGGGGGGATCTGAGAGCGGTGGGTGGTAGTGGGATCTCTGAACAGGGTGGGGGGTTGCAGGGCGAGTCTCTGAGTGGGGTGGGAGGTTGCGGGATCTTTGAGCAGGTTAGGGGGTTGTGGGCGGTGTCTCTGAGTAATGGGGTGGGTCTGAATGGGGTGGGGAGCTGTGGGGGGGTCTCTGAGTAGTGGGGGGGTCTGAGCAGGGTGGGGGCTTGTGGGATCTCTGAGCGGGGTGGGTGGTTGCGGGAGGTCTCTGAGCGGGGTGGGGAATTGTGGGGGGGTCTCTGAGGGGGTGGTGGGTTGCCGGATCTCTGAGCAGGGCCTACTCTCTCTTGCAGACAATGAGGGGAAGGTGCGGGACCCCCAGCTGGTGCGAATGTTCCTGATGATGCATCCCTGGTACATCCCCTCCTCCCAGCTGGCCGCCAAGCTGCTGCACATATATCCTTGTGAGCCCTCCACCCCCCTTCCTGCACCTCCTTCCCTCATTCACCCCCCCACCTGCCTCGAGGCACCCTACTGCCCCCCTTTCCCTCCTGGGCACCCCCTCCCTTCACAAAGTACATATCCCTGGCTGGTGAGGACAGAGCTGGCTTATTCTTCTAGCTGGCTGTCTCCCCAGCTGGGGCTCACCAGGGGACCCCTGCAGGACTGGGGGGTCCACATACATTTCAACAACACCTCAGACCAACAGGGAGGAATTGGTTGTGCATGTGAAGGCAGAAGGCAATCTGGGTGAAAGTGACCCTGAAATGACACCATTTCATGACTCTAAGGAAAGGAAGGAGTGGGGGCAGCAGGATCAGGACAATGGACTTCAAAAAAATGGACTTCAACAGATCAGAGAACTGAGAGCTAAGGTCCCAGGGGAAGCAAACTGAAGGGAGAAAGCTGGGAGTTTCTCAGCGAGACAGTGTTAAAGGCACAACAGCAAAGTAGGCTGATGCGAAGGGAAGACACATAAAGGCCAAGGTGGCTCCCTCTGGAGCTCTTTAACAGTCTTAAAAGCAAGGAAGACTCCCTCAAAAAATGCCAATGTGGACAGGAAGAGCACAGAAGAATTGCACCAGCAGGTAGGGGCAAAATCCGAGAGGCTAAGGCACAAAATGAGTTTCAGAAAGGCAGTCGGAAGAGGTTCTTTAAAAACATTGGGAGCAAGAGAAAGATGAAGGAAAGTGCAGGTCCACTACTTCCTGAGGAAGGCGAGCTAATTGATGGCATCAAGAAAGCTGGGGGGTTTAATGCCTATTTTGCTTCAGTCTTCACTAAAACAGTTAATGGTGACAGGTACTCAGCACAATGAATATTAACAACAAGGGGGGAGGAACGCAGGCCAGATAGGGAAAGAGCAGGTTAAAGAGTATTTAGAGGAGTTCAATCTATTCAAGTTGGCAGGGTCTGGTGCAGTTCACCCTCGGATCCTTAAGGAAGGAGCTGAAGCAATCTGGGAGCTGTTAGCGATTGTCTTTGAGAAATGGAGGACGGATGAGGTCCTCGGGGACTGGAGAAGGGCAGACATAGCACCTGTCTCTAAACGGGGGAACTAAGAGGACCCCGGGGATTATAGACCAGGCAGCCTAACTTCCATACTTGGCAAGATACCGGAACAAATTATTGAACAATCAGTTTGTAAGTCCCTGGAGGATAATAGGGTTATAAGAAATAGCCAGCGTGGGTTTGTCAAGAGCAAATCCTGCCAAACCAGCCTAATATCCTTCTTTGACAGGGTTACTGGCCTAGTGGCTGGGGGGAAGCAGTAGACATGATAGATCTTGATTTTAGTAACGCTTTTGACCCAGTCTCCCATTCTCATAAGCAGACTAGGGAAATATTGTCTAGATGAAATTGCTAGAAGGTGGATGCAGAACTGGTTGAAAGCTGCTCTTTGAGGACAGTCTATCAGTGGTTCTCTGTCAAACTGGGGGGATGTATTGAGTGGGGTCCCAGAGGGGTTAGTCCTGGATCTGGGGCTAGTCAATATTTTCATTAATGACTTGGATGATGCAGTGGAGAGTAGGTTTATAAAACTGGCGGATGACACTAAACTGTGGGGGTTGTGAGCACTTTGGAGGACAGGATTAGAATTCAGAATGACCTTGAGAAATTGGAGAATTGAAAGAAGATGAAATTCAATAAAGACAAGTGCAAAGGACTGCACTGAGGAAGGAGAAATCACAAAATGGGGAAAGACTGGCTAGGTGATAGTCCTCTTGAAAAGGATCTAGGGGTTGGCTCACCAAGGGAATCTAAGCCAACAGCGTGATGCCGTTGTGGAAAAGACTGTTATGGTCTGGGCTGTGTTAACGGGAGAGGCGTGTGTAAGACACCGGAGATGTTACTCAGCACTGGGGAGTTCTCAGCTGGAGTACAGCATGCAGGTCTGGGTGCCAGGCTTCAGGAGAGCTGTGGAGAAATTGGAGAGCATACAGAGGAGAGCAACAAAAATGGTAAAAGGTCTAAAAACCTGCCCTGGGAGGAAAGGCTAAAAAGCTGGGCATGTTTAGGCTTGAGAAAAGACGGGGGAGGGGAGACAACTGCTAACAGTCTTCCAATATGTTCAGGAGTGTTCTGCAGAGGACGGTGGTCAGCTGTTCTCCACGTCCACTGGAGGTAGGACCAGATGTCATGGGCTTAATCTGCAGCAAGGGAGAAGTAGGTTAGCTTTTGGGAAACACTTTCTCAGGCTAGTTAAGCTCTGGAACAGGCTGCCAGGGGAGGCTGCGGACTCCCCATCACTGGAGGTGGTAAGAACAGGCTGGACAAACACCTGTCAGGGATGCTCTGGGTTTGCTTGGCCCTGCCTCAGCACGGGGGGCTGGACTCGGTGACCTCTGGAGGTCCCTTCCAGCCCTGCATTGCTGTGATTCTAGAACACTGACTCCTCCCAGCCTGATTCAAGGGCCCTAAATCCATGGCCCAGCTCCACCCCCAGCTCCTCCCCCTTTCTCCCCCTTCCCCCAGTCTCTTGTGCCTGCAATGTGGAATTCACCTTAACTCTGCCCTTGCACCTACCAAGAGTCTCGTAGCTCAGAAAGCAGTTCCCTGCAGGTGAAAACCTGCCACCTGGTGAGGTGAGTGTAGAGGAGCCCCACATTTCTGGGCAGCATTCTCAAACCTCAGGGGCAGAGCTGGCCCCAGTGCGGCATTCAAAGGCACAGTGCTGCAGGGAGCAGCAGGGGACTCAACATAGGGCATCTTTCCACTGGGTGAGGGATCCCTGTATAAACAGCCTCCGTGCCCCACCCCAGAGGCGGCTTCATCTCAGTGCTGGGTGAGGGATCCCTGTA